ACCACATATAAATCATGTAGTAAGTAGTAAGCCCCGATAATCAATCACTTTCCAATCTTCCATCTACCCCAAGTGTCTTCTCCGGTCTTCCAAGTGGACTCTCAGCATCCCTCCCAGTTTCGGTCGTCAAGCTCTTCATCATTCAACAGGTTATGAGCCCAAGCACGATGTCCTCTGCCCATGATGCCACCACCAAGATCTCCATCGACAAGTTCGACGGCGACAACTACGCGACGTGGAGCCGCTACATGCGTGGCGTGTTCCTGACCAAGTCGGCGTGGCACGTGGTGAACCGGGAGACCACCCCCCACCTTCGCCGATCCTCGCGCCAGTGACGACTACGTCAAGACGAACAACATTGCGTTCGGCTTGATGCTGCTGCACATGAGCGCAGATTATCATCACGTGGTTGATGACTGTGAAGAGGCGTGGGTCGCGTGGGCGCGTTTGAAGACGCTGTACGGCGGGTCGCAGAAGGCTGGACGCATCTACTTGAAGCGCCAGCTGTTCAGCATGGAGATGGCGGAAGGCGGCAATGTGATGCATCATTGCAACGAAGTCCTCAACATCAGCGCGAAGCTCAGCAGCATCGGCGCCAAGATGGAGGACGAGGACGTGGCGATCTGCTTGTTGCGCAGCCTCCCCAAGAGCTACGAGAATGTCGTTCTCAACTTGGAGATGAGCAGCGCGGAACTGCGATCGCGAGACGTCGTGAGAGTGCTCACGAATGAGCACATCAAGAGGCAAGGTGACAAGACGACATCGGTGAAGACTGAAGACGCGGCCAAGGCGTTCAGTACCGAGCGTGAACCTCGCCAGTGTACATACTGCGGAAAATTGGGGCACACGGCGGAGCGGTGCTGGACCAAGCAGAAGGACGAGAATCAAGGTGGAGCTCGACGCGGCGGCAACAATGCTCGTGGACGCGGAGCCAACAACGTTCAGTGGCGAACCAACAGCAACTACGACGACAACTGCGATCGAGTTGCGTTCGCGGTTTCGCTGGAGGCCGGACTTTCGACGGGCAAGAATATGCCAGGGATGTGGGCAGTCGACAGCGGTGCGACGCATCACATCTGCAACGACAAGGCCAAGTTTGCAAGCCTGAATGAGCGAGAGGAAGGCGAACTATCAGTGGCTGATGGCAGCAAGGCTGCGATCAAGGGTGTGGGAACCATCATGGAACGGGTGGTTCTGCCCAATGGTGACGAACGCGACATCGAGATCAAGGACGCGCTGTTCGTACCAAGCATGAGCAAGAATCTGCTTTCGGTGCCACAGATCAACAAGGGTGGGAGGTTCCAAGTCGTGTTCGATGGATCCAAGATGCAAGTGAAGCGCAAGAATTCCACACAAGTCGTGGCAACAGCGGATCTCGTCGATGGACTTTACTGGCTGCGGACTCCTCAACGATCGGCAAATGCAGCAACACGCAATGGGACCATCGACTTGCATGCGCGCATGGGTCATGCACCCCTCGAAGTTCTGCGCAAGATGGTGGCCACTGGCATGATCAAGGACGCCAAGGCACCTCTCAACTCGACTGGTCCAAGTGTGTGTCGCGGTTGCCAGCAAGGAAAGATGGTTCAAAAACCATTCCCAACCAACCGTGACAAACGCCAATATGGTGTGTTCGAGTTGCTGCACTTCGACATCTGCGGGCCAATGGAACAAGTTTCGATCGGCGGCAGCAGATACTTACTGCTTGTGGTTGACGAAGCCAGCGGTTGCATGAAGGGCTTCTGTCTGCGGTCCAAGTCTGAGAGTGAAGACTGTATCAAGAACCACATCATCAAGATTCAAACACAGTTCGGCACGAAGATCAAGTTTGTTCGGCACGATGGAGCGCATGAATTTGCGACCAACTCGATCAAGACCTTCTACGAAGATCATGGTATCGAACAACAGATCACGGTGCCGTATGCACACCAGACCAACGGCACCGCAGAACGCGCGATAAGGACCATCGTCACGATCGGACGCAGCTTGTTGCATCATGCAAAGCTGGAGAAGTGTTTCTGGGCTGAAGCGGCAATGACGGCGATCTACATCAAGAACCGCCTGCCTTCACCCAAGATCGACCACAAGACTCCGTTCGAGATCGTGTACAAGTCGAAACCAAGTGTCAAGCACATGCGCGTGTTTGGATGTCGGGCGTTTATCCTGACACCAAGGGAGAAGCGATTGAAGTGGGACCCGAAGGCTCGTGAAGGGATGTTCATGGGCTACGAAGAAGCGTCAAAAGATTATCGAGTGTACGACATTGAGGCGGACCAAGTGGTGATCAGTCGTGACATCACCTTCGACGAATCGACTTTTGATTTTTCGATGGACCGACCAAGTGACGATGGTGAAGATGCGGAGTTGGATCTCGACCTCCTGGCGATCAACGAGGACGACGTGCGTCAAACTGTCTACAAGCAGACTGGCAAGCGCAAGAGTGAAGCAAGACCCGGCATGTCACGTTCAGCTCGCCCTCGAACTGGATTGGAACAAGCAAGTGCACCGGCACACGTCTCCAACCGTCACCAGAAACGACGATCAAGTGCTCCAGAAACGATGTCTGATGACGAAGAAGATGCAAGCGTCTACGATCAAGATGACGACTTGACGCCTCCAACATTTTGGCGTGCAAGTGCAAACGCAGTGGAAGCAACGGACCTAGCAGAACCTGTGACTTTTCAAGACGCGATCAATGGTCCTGATCAAGCTCACTGGCGAAATGCTGTGAAGGCGGAACTCAAGTCGATGCATCTTCGTGGAGTTTTCCGTGCGGCAAAACTACCAAGAGGCCAAGGCGCGATCGGCACCAAGTGGGTGTTCAAGATCAAGCGCAAAGCGGATGGATCGGTCGAGAAATACAAGGCGCGTCTCGTTGCCAAGGGCTTCAAGCAGAAGTACGGCATCGACTACACAGAGACGTTCTCGCCCGTGGTCAAGTACGTGACACTGCGTATGGTGATCGCGATCACCAAGTATTTCGACTGGCCACTGGACCAACTCGATGTGGTGACAGCCTTTCTCTACGGAGTGATGAAGGAGAAGGTGTACTGCGTGGTACCAGAAGGCGTCGAGATGGATGGCGACTTCGACTGTCTCGAGTTGGTGAAGGCGATCTACGGTCTCAAGCAAGCTTCACGTGTGTGGAACGAGACTTTCGATGAGTTCGTATGCTCTATCGGTTTCGAAGCGTCGGCGTTCGACCCATGTCTCTACATCAAGGTTGTCGATGGTCACTGTGTGCTCGTGCTGGTCTACGTGGATGACGTGTTGGTCACCGGCAGCTCGCTCGAGTTGATTGCGCAGACGAAGGCCGACCTCAAGACGCGTTTCGAGATGACCGACAGTGGCAAGTGTACTTTTGTACTGGGCATCGAACTGGTGGACGAATCGGATGGCAGCGTGACGATGTGCCAGCGACGGTATGTCAACGACATCCTCAAGCGCTTCGGCATGGATGAGTGCAAGGCCACATCAAGTCCGGTCGACTTGAGCACTCGGCTTGTCGCAAGCACCGAAGCGGCCAAGATCGACGTTCCGTTTCGTGAAGCTGTGGGAGCTTTGATGCACTTGACGACTGCGACGCGCCCGGACATTGCGTATGCTGTGGGGTACGTCTCGCGCTTCATGGAGAATCCGCAGCAAGAACATTGGACGGCGGTGAAGCGCATCTTTCGTTACTTGCAAGGGACCAAGTCGCACGGACTCCGATTCCAGCCAAGCGATAAGATCGACTTTCGTGGCTACTCGGACGCGGACTGGGCCGGCGACCACGCTGATCGCAAGTCGACTTCGGGTTACACTTTCATGCTGATGGGTGCTCCTGTGAGTTGGGGAAGCAAGAAGCAGTCAAGTGTGTCGCTGTCGACGAGTGAAGCGGAATACATCGCACTGAGTCTGGCCATCCAGGAAGGCAAGTGGGTGCATCGCCTGCTATGCGAGATTTTGGCGGCCGCAAACGAACCAGGACCGGACCTCGTCATCCGTGAAGACAACCAGTCCTGCATCAAGATGACAAAGAATCCGGTGAATCATGGCCGCGCCAAGCACATCGACATCAAGTACCATCACATCCGTGATGAGGTCAAGCGCGGTGAAGTGCAGCTCGAGTATTGCGAGACTACCGTGATGATGGCGGACATCATGACCAAGGGACTTTCGGGACCTCGTCACAAGGACTTGACGACGGCTCTCGGCATTCGTGCGAGTTCGGATTGAGGGGGCGTGTTGACGGTCATCGGTTTCTACCAGTATTGGTAACCGTGACCGGTCCAATCCGAACCGCCTGTTCAGCTTAGTATTTACGACGTAGTTCTTACGGTAATTACCATAGTTGATTAGACGCGTAGGATGATGAGACGCTTCACATGATTTATATGTGCACCACATATAAATCATGTAGTAAGTAGTAAGCCCCGATAATCAATCACTTTCCAATCTTCCATCTACCCCAAGTGTCTTCTCCGGTCTTCCAAGTGGACTCTCAGCATCCCTCCCAGTTTCGGTCGTCAAGCTCTTCATCATTCAACATAATTACCGTAAGAACTACGTCGTAAATACTAAGCTGAACAGGCGGTTCGGATTGGACCGGTCACGGTTACCAATACTGGTAGAAACCGATGACCGTCAACACGCCCCCTCAATCCGAACTCGCACGAATGCCGAGAGCCGTCGTCAAGTCCTTGTGACGAGGTCCCGAAAGTCCCTTGGTCATGATGTCCGCCATCATCACGGAAGTCTCGCAATACTCGAGCTGCACTTCACCGCGCTTGACCTCATCACGGATGTGATGGTACTTGATGTCGATGTGCTTTGATGAACTTTAGACTTCTTGGTCCGAGTGCAAAACGCAAAGTGAATATATATTTATAATAGGTACTTAGTTCGCAACTTTGAATACTACCTCTAAGCCTATTATTCGCAGTGACGTCATCCAGTGACGTCACCCACTGACGTCATGCAATGACGTCATCCAGTGACGTCATTTCCTGACTTCGCCCTTACTGGTACATACCGGTACCCACCGGTATAGCGAAGCTTGGTCTTCCACTTGCTTCAACACTTGACGCAGCTTGACGAGGTGTCTTCTTCACAGCCGCTGTCTTTTCAACACTCCCTCTCGACTCGTTAGCTGCGGCACCTTGGATCCCAAGTCGATCGCGAATGTTTTTAAATTGTACAGCGGCGATCGGCTTGGTCATCATGTCTGCCAGCATATCTTGAGTCGGGCAATACTCCAAAACGACTTCACCTGATTCCACCTTCTCACGCACAAAATGGTAGCGTATGTCGATGTGTTTTGTTCTCTTATGGAACTCCGGGTTCTTGGCGAGAGCGATTGATCCTTGGTTGTCTTCATACATCTTGATCGCTTCGTCGCTTGTCATCTCACCAAGTTCCCCCAAAAGCACTTTGAGCCATACTGCTTCTTTGGTTGCTTCGGAAAGCGCCATGTATTCTGCTTCTGTTGAAGATAGCGCGACCGTCCGTTGTTTCTGGCTTTTCCAGCTGATGCATCCTCCGCTCATCATGAACACATAGCCGCTTGTACTTCGTCTTGACTCAATGTCGCCGGCCCAGTCTGCGTCGGTGTACCCGCAGATACGGCTTCCTTCTTCACGTGTAAACTCAAGACCATGATTGGGCGTTGCTTGCAGGTATCTCAGCACACGCTTCAAAGCTTGCCAGTGAGTCGGGCATGGGTCGGACGAGAACTGGGATAATGATCCCACTGCAGCAGCTAGATCCGGACGTGTGGCGACCATGAGATACATGATGCCTCCGACAGCACTTCGATATGGCACGTTGCACATGGTGTCTTCGTGCTTGCATTCTTGTTCACACATGTTCTTGGTTAGCTTCAGGCCGGGATCTTGAGGCGTCTTCACTGGCTTGCTGTTATCCATTCCGAACTTGGTTAACACGGACTTGAGAAACTTGGTTTGTTGTACAGTCACCATTCCCGTCTTACGGTCGTTCTTGATCTCCATGCCGAGAAAGTAATCGAGCTCACCGAGATCCGTCATTTCGAAGCGTTTGCTCAGCGCCACCTTGGTTGACTTGAGGAGTTCGTTGTTGCTGCTGGCCAGGATGAGATCATCGACGTAGAGCACCACGAGAATCATGTCTTGGTCGTCTCGCTTGATGTAGATGCAGTGGTCCGATTCGCACTTCTTGAATCCCATCTTGATCATGAACCCATCGATTGTTTGGTTCCACATGCGAGGCGATTGCTTCAAGCCGTAGAGTGATCTCTTTAGCTTGCACACATAGTCCGGCTGTGTTGCATCCAGGTATCCGTCCGGCTGGTCCATGTAGATGTCTTCGTTGAGGGAGCCGTTAAGAAACGCTGTCTTGACGTCCATCTGATGTAGCATTAGGCCGTACTTAGCCGCCATACTGAGCACCACACGAATCGATGTGAACTTGGCCACCGGTGCGAAAGTTTCTTCATAGTCAACTCCGAATTTCTGTGAGAATCCTTTGGCCACAAGTCTTGCCTTGAAACGTTCAACTTCGCCATCTTGATTCTCCTTTACACGAAAAACCCATCGGCACCCGATGGCCTTGCGACCTTTCGGAAGAGGCACGATTTCCCACGTGTCGTTTCTCTGAAGCGAATCGAACTCCGAGTCACACGCTTCTTTCCACTTGCCGGAGTCGCTTGATTCCATCGCCGACTTGAATGTAGTCGGCGTTTCCCCCACTGAATCAACGATGTAGGCTGCTTCAAAATCCATTGCAGCCTATTGAATGGTGAAAAGCTTGACGACCGAAACTGGGAGTGATGCTGGGAGTCTACTCGGAAGACCGGAGAAGACACTTGGGGGGGTAGATGGAAGATCGGAAAGTGATTGATTATCGGGGCTTACTACTTACTACATGATTTATATGTGGTGCACATATAAATCATGTGAAGCGTCTCATCATCCTACGCGTCTAATCAACTATGGTAATTACCGTAAGAACTACGTCGTAAATACTAAGCTGAACAGGCGGTTCGGATTGGACCGGTCACGGTTACCAATACTGGTAGAAACCGATGACCGTCAACACGCCCCCTCAATCCGAACTCGCACGAATGCCGAGAGCCGTCGTCAAGTCCTTGTGACGAGGTCCCGAAAGTCCCTTGGTCATGATGTCCGCCATCATCACGGAAGTCTCGCAATACTCGAGCTGCACTTCCCCGCGCTTGACCTCATCACGGATGTGATGGTACTTGATGTCGATGTGCTTGGCGCGGCCATGATTCACCGGATTCTTCGTCATCTTGATGCACGACTGGTTGTCTTCACAGATGGCGAGGTCCGGTCCTGGTTCGTTTGCGGCCGCCAAAATCTCGCATAGCAGGTGATGCACCCACTTGCCTTCCTGGATGGCCAGACTCAGTGCGATGTATTCCGCTTCACTCGTCGACAGCGACACACTTGACTGCTTCTTGCTTCCCCAACTCACAGGAGCACCCATCAGCATGAAAGTGTAACCCGAAGTCGACTTGCGATCAGCGTGGTCGCCGGCCCAGTCCGCGTCCGAGTAGCCACGAAAGTCGATCTTGTCGCTTGGCTGGAAGCGGAGTCCGTGCGACTTGGTCCCTTGCAAGTAACGAAAGATGCGCTTCACCGCCGTCCAATGTTCTTGCTGCGGATTCTCCATGAAGCGCGAGACGTACCCCACAGCATACGCAATGTCCGGGCGCGTCGCAGTCGTCAAGTGCATCAAAGCTCCCACAGCTTCACGAAACGGAACGTCGATCTTGGCCGCTTCGGTGCTTGCGACAAGCCGAGTGCTCAAGTCGACCGGACTTGCTGTGGCCTTGCACTCATCCATGCCGAAGCGCTTGAGGATGTCGTTGACATACCGTCGCTGGCACATTGTCACGCTGCCATCCGATTCGTCCACCAGTTCGATGCCCAGTACAAAAGTACACTTGCCACTGTCGGTCATCTCGAAACGCGTCTTGAGGTCGGCCTTCGTCTGCGCAATCAACTCGAGCGAGCTGCCGGTGACCAACACGTCATCCACGTAGACCAGCACGAGCACACAGTGACCGTCGACAACCTTGATGTAGAGACATGGGTCGAACGCCGACGCTTCGAAACCGATGGAGCATACGAACTCGTCGAAAGTCTTGTTCCACACACGTGAAGCTTGCTTGAGACCGTAGATCGCCTTCACCAACTCGAGACAGTCGAAGTCGCCATCCATCTCGACGCCTTCTGGTATCACGCAGTACACCTTCTCCTTCATCACTCCGTAGAGAAAGGCTGTCACCACATCGAGTTGGTCCAGTGGCCAGTCGAAATACTTGGTGATCGCGATCACCATACGCAGTGTCACGTACTTGACCACGGGCGAGAACGTCTCTGTGTAGTCGATGCCGTACTTCTGCTTGAAGCCCTTGGCAACGAGACGCGCCTTGTATTTCTCGACCGATCCATCCGCTTTGCGCTTGATCTTGAACACCCACTTGGTGCCGATCGCGCCTTGGCCTCTTGGCAGTTTTGCCGCACGGAAAACTCCACGAAGATGCATCGACTTGAGTTCCGCCTTCACAGCATTTCGCCAGTGAGTTTGATCAGGACCATTGATCGCGTCTTGAAAAGTCACAGGTTCTGCTAGGTCCGTTGCTTCCACTGCGTTTGCACTTGCACGCCAAAATGTTGGAGGCGTCGAGTCGTCATCTTGATCGTACACGCTTGCATCTTCTTCGTCATCAGACATCGTTTCTGGAGCACTTGATCGTCGTTTCTGGTGACGGTTGGAGACGTGTTCCGGCGCACTTGCTTGTTCCAACCCAGTTCGAGGGCGAGCTGACCGTGACATGCCGGGTCTTGCTTCACTCTTGCGCTTGCCAGTCTGCTTGTAGACGGTTTGACGCACGTCGTCCTCGTTGATCGCCAGGAGGTCGAGGTCCAACTCCGCATCTTCATCATCGTCACTTGGTCGGTCCATCGAAAAGTCAAAAGTCGATTCGTCGAAGGTGATGTCACGACTGATCACCACTTGGCCCGCCTCAATGTCGTACACTCGATAAGCTTTTGACGCTTCTTCGTAGCCCATGAACATCCCTTCACAAGCCTTCGGGTCCCACTTCAATCGCTTCTCCCTTGGTGTCAGGATAAACGTCCGACATCCAAACACGCGCATGTGCTTGACACTTGGTTTCGACTTGTACACGATCTCGAACGGAGTCTTGTGGTCGATCTTGGGTGAAGGCAGGCGGTTCTTGATGTAGATCGCCGTCATTGCCGCTTCAGCCCAGAAACACTTCTCCAGCTTTGCATGATGCAACAAGCTGCGTCCGATCGTGACGATGGTCCTTATCGCGCGTTCTGCGGTGCCGTTGGTCTGGTGTGCATACGGCACCGTGATCTGTTGTTCAATACCATGATCTTCGTAGAAGGTCTTGATGGAGTTGGTCGCAAACTCATGCGCTCCATCGTGCCGAACAAACTTGATCTTCGTGCCGAACTGGGTTTGAATCTTGATAATGTGGTTCTTGATACAGTCTTCACTCTCAGACTTGGACCGCAGACAGAAGCCCTTCATGCAACCGCTGGCTTCGTCAACCACAAGCAGTAAGTATCTGCTGCCGCCGATCGAAACTTGTTCCATTGGCCCGCAGATGTCGAAGTGCAGCAACTCGAACACACCATATTGGCGTTTGTCACGGTTGGTTGGGAATGGTTTTTGAACCATCTTTCCTTGCTGGCAACCGCGACACACACTTGGACCAGTCGAGTTGAGAGGTGCCTTGGCGTCCTTGATCATGCCAGTGGCCACCATCTTGCGCAGAACTTCGAGGGGTGCATGACCCATGCGCGCATGCAAGTCGATGGTCCCATTGCGTGTTGCTGCATTTGCCGATCGTTGAGGAGTCCGCAGCCAGTAAAGTCCATCGACGAGATCCGCTGTTGCCACGACTTGTGTGGAATTCTTGCGCTTCACTTGCATCTTGGATCCATCGAACACGACTTGGAACCTGCCACCCTTGTTGATCTGTGGCACCGAAAGCAGATTCTTGCTCATACTTGGTACGAACAGTGCGTCCTTGATCTCGATGTCGAGTTCGTCACCATTGGGCAGAACCACCCGTTCCATGATGGTTCCCACACCCTTGATCGCAGCCTTGCTGCCATCAGCCACTGATAGTTCGCCTTCCTCTCGCTCATTCAGGCTTGCAAACTTAGCCTTGTCGTTGCAGATGTGATGCGTCGCACCGCTGTCGACTGCCCACATCCCTGGCATATTCTTGCCCGTCGAAAGTCCAGCCTCCAGCGAAACCGCGAACGCAACTCGATCGTAGTTGTCATCGTAGTTGCTGTTGGTTCGCCACTGAACGTTGTTGGCTCCGCGTCCACGAGCATTGTTGCCGCCGCGTCGAGCTCCACCTTGATTTTCGTCCTTCTGCTTGGTCCAGCACCGCTCCGCCGTGTGCCCCAATTTTCCGCAGTATGTACACTGGCGAGGTTCACGCTCGGCACTGAACGCCTTCGCCGCGTCTTCAGTCTTCACCGATGTCGTCTTGTCACCTTGTCTCTTGATGTGCTCATTCGTGAGCACTCTCACGACGTCTCGCGATCGCAGTTCCGCGCTGCTCATCTCCAAGTTGAGAACGACGTTCTCGTAGCTCTTGGGGAGGCTGCGCAACAAGCAGATCGCCACGTCCTCGTCCTCCATCTTGGCGCCGATGCTGCTGAGCTTCGCGCTGATGTTGAGGACTTCGTTGCAATGATGCATCACATTGCCGCCTTCCGCCATCTCCATGCTGAACAGCTGGCGCTTCAAGTAGATGCGTCCAGCCTTCTGCGACCCGCCGTACAGCGTCTTCAAACGCGCCCACGCGACCCACGCCTCTTCACAGTCATCAACCACGTGATGATAATCCGCGCTCATGTGCAGAAGCATCAAGCCGAACGCAATGTTGTTCGTCTTGACGTAGTCGTCACTGGCGCGAGGATCGGCGAAGGTGGGGGGTGGTCTCCCGGTTCACCACGTGCCACGCCGACTTGGTCAGGAACACGCCACGCATGTAGCGGCTCCACGTCGCGTAGTTGTCGCCGTCGAACTTGTCGATGGAGATCTTGGTGGTGGCATCATGAGCAGAGGACATCGTGCTTGGGCTCATAACCTATTGAATGGTGAAAAGCTTGACGACCGAAACTGGGAGGGATGCTGAGAGTCCACTTGGAAGACCGGAGAAGACACTTGGGGTAGATGGAAGATTGGAAAGTGATTGATTATCGGGGCTTACTACTTACTACATGATTTATATGTGGTGCACATATAAATCATGTGAAGCGTCTCATCATCCTACGCGTCTAATCAACTATGGTAATTACCGTAAGAACTACGTCGTAAATACTAAGCTGAACAGGCGGTTCGGATTGGACCGGTCACGGTTACCAATACTGGTAGAAACCGATGACCGTCAACACAGCCGCTGACACATGCTCAAGCGACGGACCTCTGTATGTTCTTCGCTTGGGACTTGGAATGACGGTAGCTTTCTCAAGTGATTGAGTGCGCGTGTGTCTCTTGATGTTGCTCTTCGAAGACCTGGTGTCTTCGTTGTCATCGTCGCTCGAGTCCATGTCGTCGTCAGTTTTACCTTCTTCTTTTTCTTCGTCCTCATCATGATCATCAAACTCAACGACACTTGACTCATCGTTGTAGTTGCGCGGACCTTCATCAAACTTGTCTTCCATGAATGTGGCATCGCGACTGATCTTGATCGCTCCTGTTGACACTTCCTCAAATCGATATGACTTCTGGTGTTCGGCGTATCCCAGGAAACGACAGAGTGATGACTTGGAGTCGAACTTCGCGCGTTTGTCTTGAGGCACTTGAACATACGCGTGGCATCCAAACACTTTAAGGTTGGCCAGAATCGGTTTCTTCATCGTCCACACTTGATATGGAGACTTGTCTTGGTGAATGGCACGTGTTGGACAGCGGTTTCGAAGAAACATGGCAGTCATGACTGCTTCGCCCCAGTAGCTCTTTCCCAGTCCAGCGTGTTCCATCATGCAACGCGCACACTCGACCAGCGTGCGATTCATTCTCTCAGCTACTCCGTTTAGCTGAGGAGTATATGGGGGTGTGAACCTTTGTTGTATTCCCCGTTCCGCGCAGAATCGTGCCAGCTTGTCGGACTTGTATTCACCCCCATTGTCGCTTTGAAGGTACTTCACGCGCTTTCCGGTTTGCGTTTCGGCCATCGCAGCGTATTCCATGAACTTCGCCGCAACTTCAGATTTGCTCTTGAGCAGATAGACGACACAGTATCTTGACTTGTCATCAATGAATGTCACGAAGTACCGTTTTCCACTGAAAGTTGCCATCGACATCGGGCCGCATACATCGCTGTGAATCACTTCGAGGAGTTTGGAGGTGCGAGCTGTAGTGTTTGATTGGAAGCGCACTCGAGTCTGTTTTCCCAGAGCACAACCTTCACACACGTCCCACTTCTTCACCGAAGATATGTCGATGCCAATTCCAATGTTCTTCGTCACGATGCAATTGAGTCCATCGTGACCAATGTGACCAAGTCGAAGGTGCCAGAGGTACGACGTGGTGTCCCCTTGACATCCCGACGACTTGGCTGCATTTGCTTGTTCCGGCGCCACTGGAGTCATTTGCAGCTTGAACAGTCCTTTGCCTTCGCGAGCTCCAATCTTCCACTTGGTCCCTTTCGCTTCTCCATAGCACCCATCCTTCGTGAACGTCACTGGGCCGACATCCTTGGTGAAGCGGCCGACCGAGAACAGGTTTCTGGATAACTTTGGGATGTGCCACACGTTTGTGAGCACACCTTTCTTCATCCCTTGGGGTGTCTTCATCGACATGACAATGTCCCCACTACCGATTGCTTGGACGATTCCATCATCCGCGAGATGGACATCCACAGCGTCAAACCCCTTGTAGTTCTTCATGAACTTCTTGGAACACGTCATGTGCTGCGTCGCCCCGGAGTCGACCAGCCAGATGTCGCTCGATTTCGCAGATGTCGTTTCACCGATCGAAAAGAGGTAGTCGCCCGAGTCTTCTTCTTGAGCGACGTTTGCACGTTGTGATCGATAGCGGTCGCCGCTGTCTTGAGCACGCTGTGGCCGGTGTCTCTCCGTGTTTTCTTGGATGCGCGAGGGGCACTCCGCCATCCAGTGACCAATCTTTCCGCAATTGTGGCACGGCCAGGACTTCTTCACTGGTCGCCCTTTGCGCTGATTGTCCCTTGTGATGAACGCTTGACCTTGCGAAGCTTCATCACCTTTACTTCCTTGCTCCTTCCGCTTCATTTCTTCATGAAGCAGTCGAGACGTCACGAGCTCCCAGCTAAGAGTGTCTGAGCGCGACTCCAAAGCTGTGATCAAGAATTGATACGAGTCACTCAGGCTGCCGAGGAGTGTGATCACCAGATCGTCCTCGCAGACTGGAGCCCCCACCGCTTCTAGCTGTTCCGCCAGCGTCTTGAGCTTGTTGATGTGTTCGAGCACATCGTCGCCTTCTTCCATCATTGTCGTGAAGAAGCGACGGCGCAAGAACAGCTTGTTGGCAAGACTCTTCTTCTCGAAGTGGTCTTCCAACCTTGACCATGCGTCGCATGCACCACTTGCCGACCGGACCAACGGTAGCTGGGAATCTTCCATGGCTAGACAGATCACTGCCATCGCCTTTCTTGACTTCCTCTTGTACGTCGCTTGGTCCAACTGAGTCTCGCACTGTTCCGCCTTGATCTCACCGCTGACGACCTCCCATAGGTCCCGTTCCTCCAGCACCATCTGCATCTTGAACTTCCAGGCGTGGAAGTTAGTTCCATCGAACTTGGAGATGCGGAGGGAGGAGGCGTCCATGGCAGCTAAGCTTGAATTGTTGGCGGTTTCAGAGTCTTACGAACTTGGGCTCATAACCTGATGAACTTTAGACTTCTTGGTCCGAGTGCAAAACGCAAAGTGAATATATATTTATAATAGGTACTTAGTTCGCAACTTTGAATACTACCTCTAAGCCTATTATTCGCAGTGACGTCATCCAGTGACGTCACCCACTGACGTCATGCAATGACGTCATCCAGTGACGTCATTTCCTGACTTCGCCCTTACTGGTACATACCGGTACCCACCGGTATAGCGAAGCTTGGTCTTCCACTTGCTTCAACACTTGACGCAGCTTGACGAGGTGTCTTCTTCACAGCCGCTGTCTTTTCAACATGCTTGGCGCGGCCATGATTCACCGGATTCTTTGTCATCTTGATGCACGACTGGTTGTCTTCACGGATGACGAGGTCCGGTCCTGGTTCGTTTGCGGCCGCCAAAATCTCGCATAGCAGGCGATGCACCCACTTGCCTTCCTGGATGGCCAGACTCAGTGCGATGTATTCCGCTTCACTCGTCGACAGCGACACACTTGACTGCTTCTTGCTTCCCCAACTCACAGGAGCACCCATCAGCATGAAAGTGTAACCCGAAGTCGACTTGCGATCAGCGTGGTCGCCGGCCCAGTCCGCGTCCGAGTAGCCACGAAAGTCGATCTTATCGCTTGGCTGGAATCGGAGTCCGTGCGACTTGGTCCCTTGCAAGTAACGAAAGATGCGCTTCACCGCCGTCCAATGTTCTTGCTGCGGATTCTCCATGAAGCGCGAGACGTACCCCACAGCATACGCAATGTCCGGGCGCGTCGCAGTCGTCAAGTGCATCAAAGCTCCCACAGCTTCACGAAACGGAACGTCGATCTTGGCCGCTTCGGTGCTTGCGACAAGCCGAGTGCTCAAGTCGACCGGACTTGATGTGGCCTTGCACTCATCCATGCCGAAGCGCTTGAGGATGTCGTTGACATACCGTCGCTGGCACATCGTCACGCTGCCATCCGATTCGTCCACCAGTTCGATGCCCAGTACAAAGGTACACTTGCCGCTGTCGGTCATCTCGAAACGCATCTTGAGGTCGGCCTTCGTCTGCGCAATCAACTCGAGCGAGCTGCCGGTGACCAACACGTCATCCACGTATACCAGCAGCAGCACGCAGTGACCATCCACAACCTTGATGTAGAGACATGGGTCGAACGCCGACGCTTCGAAACCGATAGAGCATACGAACTCATCGAAAGTCTCGTTCCACACACGTGAAGCTTGCTTGAGACCGTAGATCGCCTTCACCAACTCGAGACAGTCGAAGTCGCCATCCATCTCGACGCCTTCTGGTACCACGCAGTACACCTTCTCCTTCATCACTCCGTAGAGAAAGGCTGTCACCACATCGAGTTGGTCCAGTGGCCAGTCGAAATACTTGGTGATCGCGATCACCATACGCAGTGTCACGTACTTGACCACGGGCGAGAACGTCTCTGTGTAGTCGATGCCGTACTTCTGCTTGAAGCCCTTGGCAACGAGACGCGCCTTGTATTTCTCGACCGATCCATCCGCTTTGCGCTTGATCTTGAACACCCACTTGGTGCCGATCGCGCCTTGGCCTCTTGGTAGTTTTGCCGCACGGAAAACTCCACGAAGATGCATCGACTTGAGTTCCGCCTTCACAGCATTTCGCCAGTGAGCTTGATCAGGACCATTGATCGCGTCTTGAAAAGTCACAGGTTCTGCTAGGTCCGTTGCTTCCACTGCGTTTGCACTTGCACGCCAAAATGTTGGAGGCGTCAAGTCGTCATCTTGATCGTAGACGCTTGCATCTTCTTCGTCATCAGACATCGTTTCTGGAGCACTTGATCGTCGTTTCTGGTGACGGTTGGAGACGTGTGCCGGCGCACTTGCTTGTTCCAATCCAGTTCGAGGGCGAGCTGAACGTGACATGCCGGGTCTTGCTTCACTCTTGCGCTTGCCAGTCTGCTTGTAGACAGTTTGACGCACGTCGTCCTCGTTGATCGCCAGGAGGTCGAGATCCAACTCCGCATCTTCATCATCGTCACTTGGTCGGTCCATCGAAAAGTCAAAAGTCGATTCGTCGAAGGTGATGTCACGACTGATCACCACTTGGTCCGCCTCAATGTCGTACACTCGATAAGCTTTTGACACTTCTTCGTAGCCCATGAACATCCCTTCACGAGCCTTCGGGTCCCACTTCAATCGCTTCTCCCTTGGTGTCAGGATAAACGCCCGACATCCAAACACGCGCATGTGCTTGACACTTGGTTTCGACTTGTACACGATCTCGAACGGAGTCTTGTGGTCGATCTTGGGTGAAGGCAGGCGGTTCTTGATGTAGATCGCCGTCATTGCCGCTTCAGCCCAGAAACACTTCTCCAGCTTTGCATGATGCAACAAGCTGCGTCCGATCGTGACGATGGTCCTTATCGCGCGTTCTGCGGTGCCGTTGGTCTGGTGTGCATACGGCACCGTGATCTGTTGTTCGATACCATGATCTTCGTAGAAGGTCTTGATCGAGTTGGTCGCAAATTCATGCGCTCCATCGTGCCGAACAAACTTGATCTTCGTGCCGAACTGTGTTTGAATCTTGATGATGTGGTTCTTGATACAGTCTTCACTCTCAGACTTGGACCGCAGACAGAAGCCCTTCATGCAACCGCTGGCTTCGTCAACCACAAGCAGTAAGTATCTGCTGCCACCGATCGAGACTTGTTCCATTGGCCCGCAGATGTCGAAGTGCAGCAACTCGAACATACCATATTGGCGTTTGTCACGGTTGGTTGGGAATGGTTTTTGGACCATCTTTCCTTGCTGGCAACCGCGACACACACTTGGACCAGTCGAGTTGAGAGGTGCCTTGGCGTCCTTGATCATGCCAGTGGCCACCATCTTGCGCAGAACTTCGAGAGGTGCATGACCCATGCGCGCATGCAAGTCGATGGTCCCATTGCGTGTTGCTGCATTTGCCGATCGTTGAGGAGTCCGCAGCCAGTAAAGTCCATCGACGAGATCCGCTGTTGCCACGACTTGTGTGGAATTCTTGCGCTTCACTTGCATCTTGGATCCATCGAACACGACTTGGAACCTCCCACCCTTGTTGATCTGTGGCACCGAAAGCAGATTCTTGCTCATGCTTGGTACGAACAGCGCGTCCTTGATCTCGATGTCGCGTTCGTCACCATTGGGCAGAACCACCCGTTCCATGATGGTTCCCACACCCTTGATCGCAGCCTTGCTGCCATCAGCCACTGATAGTTCGCCTTCCTCTCGCTCATTCAGGCTTGCAAACTTGGCCTTGTCGTTGCAGATGTGATGCGTCGCACCGCTGTCGACTGCCCACATCCCTGGCATATTCTTGCCCGTCGAAAGTCCGGCCTCCAGCGAAACCGCGAACGCAACTCGATCGCAGTTGTCGTCGTAGTTGCTGTTGGTTCGCCACTGAACGTTGTTGGCTCCGCGTCCACGAGCATTGTTGCCGCCGCGTCGAGCTCCACCTTGATTCTCGTCCTTCTGCTTGGTCCAGCACCGCTCCGCCGTGTGCCCCAATTTTCCGCAGTATGTACACTGGCGAGGTTCACGCTCAGTACTGAACGCCTTCGCCGCGTCTTCAGTCTTCACCGATGTCGTCTTGTCACCTTGCCTCTTGATGTGCTCATTCGTGAGCACTCTCACGACGTCTCGCGATCGCAGTTCCGCGCTGCTCATCTCCAAGTTGAGAACGACGTTCTCGTAGCTCTTGGGGAGGCTGCGCAACAAGCAGATCGCCACGTCCTCGTCCTCCATCTTGGCGCCGATGCTGCTGAGCTTCGCGCTGATGTTGAGGACTTCGTTGCAATGATGCATCACATTGCCGCCTTCCGCCATCTCCATGCTGAACAGCTGGCGCTTCAAGTAGATGCGTCCAGCCTTCTGCGACCCGCCGTACAGCGTCTTCAAACGCGCCCACGCGACCCACGCCTCTTCACAGTCATCAACCACGTGATGATAATCTGCGCTCATGTGCAGCAGCATCAAGCCGAACGCAATGTTGTTCGTCTTGACGTAGTCGTCACTGGCGCGAGGATCGGCGAAGGTGGGGGGTGGTCTCCCGGTTCACCACGTGCCACGCCGACTTGGTCAGGAACACGCCACGCATGTAGCGGCTCCACGTCGCGTAGTTGTCGCCGTCGAACTTGTCGATGGAGATCTTGGTGGTGGCATCATGGGCAGAGGACATCGTGCTTGGGCTCATAACCTTTTGAATGATGAAGAGCTTGACGACCGAAACTGGGAGGGATGCTGAGGAGTCCACTTGGAAGACCGGAGAAGACACTTGGGGTAGATGGAAGATTGGAAAGTGATTGATTATCGGGGCTTACTACTTACTACATGATTTATATGTGGTGCACATATAAATCATGTGAAGCGTCTCATCATCCTACGCGTCTAATCAACTATGGTAATTACCGTAAGAACTACGTCGTAAATACTAAGCTGAACAGGCGGTTCGGATTGGACCGGTCACGGTTACCAATACTGGTAGAAACCGATGACCGTCAACAGACTGGTTGTCTTCACGGATGACGAGGTCCGGTCCTGGTTCGTTTGCGGCCGCCAAAATCTCGCATAGCAGGCGATGCACCCACTTGCCTTCCTGGATGGCCAGACTCAGTGCGATGTATTCCGCTTCACTCGTCGACAGCGACACACTTGACTGCTTCTTGCTTCCCCAACTCACAGGAGCACCCATCAGCATGAAAGTGTAACCCGAAGTCGACTTGCGATCAGCGTGGTCGCCGGCCCAGTCCGCGTCCGAGTAGCCACGAAAGTCGATCTTATCGCTTGGCTGGAATCGGAGTCCGTGCGACTTGGTCCCTTGCAAGTAACGAAAGATGCGCTTCACCGCCGTCCAATGTTCTTGCTGCGGATTCTCCATGAAGCGCGAGACGTACCCCCACAGCATACGCAATGTCCGGGCGCGTCGCAGTCGTCAAGTGC